CATGCTGGCAGGCAGCATTCCCAGCCCTTATCTATCAATCATTTTTTCTGGTGAGACATTTTAAATTAATTCTGTTTTTTTGTCTTTTGTTTTTGGTCCTGGGGATTGAACCCTACCTACTGAACTATATCTCAGTCCTATTTTTTATTTTGTACACATATATTGTTTTGTTTATATTTTGTATTGGGGATTAAACCAAGGCATTTATCCACTGAGCCACATTCCCAGCCCATTTTTGAACTTTACTTAGAGACAGGGTCTTGCTAAGGGCCTTCCTAAATTGCTGAGACTGGCTTTCAACTCGTGATCCTCCTGCCTCAGCCTCCTCAGCCACTGATATTACAAGCGTGCACCACTGTGCCCAGCTTATTTTTTGAGACAGGATCTCACTAAATTGCTGAGACTTGTCTTGAACTTGTGATCCTTCTATTTCAGCTTCCTGAGTCACTGGGTTTACAGGGATGTGCCATTGCGCTGAGTCATTCTCAGTGGCTTTGGAAATATCTGATAGACTATTATTGACTATAGGGCTGTGCAATAGTTTCAAAAAATGTTCTTGTCTATCTGAAACTTTATATCTTTTGATCAACAACTCCCAATTCCCTACTTCCCACCCTTAGAACCTGGTAATAATTATTCAATGATATTTCTGTGAGTTCAACTTTATGGGATTCCACATATAAGTGAGATCATGAGATATTTGTCCTAATGTTCTTGGCTTATTTAACCTAGGATATTATCCTCTAGATTCAGAGATGTTGTGGCAAATGACAGGATTTCCTTCTTTTTGCGGCTGAATAGTATTCCATTATGTATGTGTGCACACACTTACATACCACCTTTTCTTTATCCATTTGTATCTTGATGAACCCCTAGATGGATTCTATGTCTTGGTTATTGCAAATGGTGCTGCAATGAATATGAGGGGCAGATATTCCTTTGACACATTGATTTCAACTCCCATGTATGTATATTCAGAAATGAGATTACTTAATTATATGGTAATTCTACCTTTATTTGTTTTTTTAAATTTTATTATTTTTTTTAAAGAGAGAGTGAGAGAGGAGAGAGAGAGAGAGAGAGAGAATTTTTTAATATTTATTTTTTAGTTTTCGGCAGACACAACATCTTTGTTTGTATGTGGTGCTGAGGATTGAACCCGGGCTGCACGCATGCCAGGCGAGCGTGCTACCACTTGAGCCACATCCCCAGCCCATGTTTTTATTTATTATTTAGTTGTAGATGGACACAATTAATATCTTTATTTATTTTTATGTGATACTGAGGATAGAACCCAGTGCCTCACACATAGTAGGTAAGTACTCTACCACTGAGCTACAACTCCAGCCCAACCTTTAATTTTTGAATGAACCTCCATACTGTTTTCCATAAAAGTTGTACTAGCCAGGCATATGGCATACACCTGTAATCCCAACAGCTCAGGAGGCTGAGGCAGGAGGATTGGGAGTTCAAAGCCAGCCTTAGCAATTTAGCAAGATCCTATCTCTAAATAAAGATACAAAAAAGGACTGGGGATGTGGATCAGTGATTGATCCCCCATGGATTTAATCCCTAGTACCAAAAAAAAAAAAAAAAAAAAAAATTACCTTCTCTGATGATTACTTATGCTGAGCATTTTTCATGTGCCTACCAGCCATTGGTATGTCTTCTTCTGAGAAATGTCTTGTTCAGGTCCTTTGGTCATTTTTAATTTTTTTTTCTTGCTATTGAGTTGAATTCCATATATATTTTGGTTATAACCTTTTATCAGAAGTATGGTTTGCAAATATGTTCCCCATTCTGTGGGCTGTCTCAATTTTTTCCTTTGCTTTGCAGAAGAATTTTATTTTCATGTTAAATCATTTATTTATTTTTTGCTTTTGTTGCCTGTGGTAATCTGGGTATTCTGAGATTCATAATTAAGAATATATATGTATAAATAAGTATATATGTATATACATATATATGTTTGAGTTGCAATACTGGCAGTAAAGAAATATAGTAAATATTTTATAGATAAGAGATTTCCTTTGTCTTAATTTTTTTGGTCTGATGTGAACTCCTATTCTGTGACAGATAAAATTGTTCTGGATAAAATTCTTCTTGAAGTGATCCATGAAAATTACAATTTGAATAAAGGTATAGCTTGGGTTTAGACTAGATCCTCCTTAGTGCCACTTATGAAAACTTTGACACTACATTGGCCATTTGCATAAAATGAAACTACTCTTACAACTATCTGCTCTTCTTTATCCCTAATATTGCATTTAAAAATTTATTATAATCTTCATAGTAGGTATGAATATGACACTGAAAAATAGGTTACTGACTTTGCTTTCTTAGTCATAGGCATTTCTAATCAATGCTTGAATTATCTGCAAGGAATGACTCTAAGAAGCAGGGATTTGTCTCAGTAGTTCAAGTTCCTTTTGGAATTCTTCACTGCTGGCAGGCAGAATAATGATCCCTGCCCCGACCCCACCCCCACCCCCGCCCACCCCTCACCCCCAACATGTGCACACATGGCAAAAATGTCCATGTCCTAATCCCTGAGACCTGTGAGTATTTTGACTATAGTGGCAAAGAGAAATTAAGATTGCAGATGGAATTAAGGTTGCAAACCAACTGATGGGAAGATTTTCTTGGATTATCACTGTGGATCCAATGTCATCACCAGAGTTCTTATAAGTAAAAGGAGACAAGAAAGAGAATCAAAGAGATGGGAGCAAGAGAAAGATGTATCAGCTGGCTTTGAAGGTGAAGGAAAGGGGTCTTGAGTCAAGGAATTTGGGTGGCCTCCACAAAACAGGAAAAACAAAAACAAAAAACTTGTCCCTAGAGCCAATCCTTTGATTTTAATTTAGATTTTCGTTAGATTCATATCCAATTTTGGACCTACAGAACCATGAAATAATTTGTGTCATTTAAGTTTTTGATAATTTATTATAGCAGCAATAGAAAACTACCTATATCTTTCTTGGTATCTCCTGCCTTTTCCCTGAAAACCCTCAGCAACGGCTTCCACATTATTTTATTCTGTTTTGAAGGATTCATTATGACATTTCTCTCTCTCTCCCTTTCTTTCTTTCTTTCTCTCTTCTACCAGAGGTTGAACCCAGGGACATTTCAACACTGAGTCACATTCCCAACCCCTTTTTAAAATGTTGAAACTGGGTTTCAGTAAATTGTTTAGGTCCCACTAAATTACTAAGGATGACTTTAAACTTGGAATCCTTCTGCCTCACCCTTAGTACATGCTGAGTTACCATTCTTATTTTAAGTCCTTTGTCTAATGAGGTCTAACTACAAAGAACATATCTTTTGTCAAAGAAATTTAGGGAAAAACAAGTAGGTACACAACATTTTTGGAAAATGTAACAATTTCCCCTAAATCTCTGGTAACTAAAACTATTCATCTAGCACATAGTCAAACTTTTCTTTTTTATTTCTTTTTTCTTCGTTTTTTTTTTTTTTTGTTTTTGTTTTTGTTTGTTTGTTTGTTTTGGTACTGGGGATTGAACTCGGGGTGCTTTATCACTAAACCACATCCCCAAATCCTTTTTATTTTTTAAATTCTGAGATAGGGACTTGCTAAGTTGCTGAGTCTCCCTAAATTGCTGAGATTGACCTCCAATTTTGCAATCCTCCTGCCTCAGCCCCCAGAATTGCTCGGATTGCAGGCCACAGTGTACATGGTGAATCTTAACCACAGTGAAGGGTGTGATTTTTCAGGGGTTGGTAATCTTGTTTTCTCTTTCCAACCTAATGAACCCCTGTTTCTCAGCTAAAATGAAATGTATTGATTACTTAAGGATAAATATTCTGAGGAAGCCCTATCTAACTACACACACAAAACGGGCTTTAATAATTTCTTGTAATTACGTTCATCATTAAGAAATTAATCTAAAAAGATGGAGACAGGCAATGTCTACTACATTGAAGGAGAAACTTCAGAATTTTTCCTCTCCTCTTTGAAAACGGGATTCTCTGACCTCTGCTAGCATGCATTACAACTGAAGAAGACTGAGTTGGGTAAAACGTGTGTTTAAGAGTAGAATTTTCTATTTCACAAAACATCCCTTTTCTATTTGCCCTACCTGATTAAATACTTCTTTTTCCTCAGCGACTTTACAAGTTATGTCCCTGCTAAAGGTTTCCAGAGTAACACATTCTTGAAGGTTGGGTTTTAGTTCACGGTTTTGACTTTTATTTTCCCCAGAATGTAAACACACTCATGTTTAAAACACTGTCTTTTTGACGCTCTACTCCACCTTACGACGACGACAGCATGTCCAAGAATGTTTAAAGGGCTGCTAGTTTACAACAGGTGACACCTTTACATTCCAGAGAACGGTTCCCTGATCCGAAAGCCCACGACTTCCGGTCGGATGAAAATTAAATCTTCCTCTCTTATAGACGGTTTTTGGTGTGCTTGTTATCAAAAGGTCCTCCGTCACGTGTCTACGTGGGGATTGACGCTTTCTCCGCGACACTGACACAGACATGGTTATCGGGAAGCAGCCACAGCTGGGACAAGGGCAGCCAACCAAGACCGCCAAAGAACACGGTCCAGGGCCATGGGGCCAGTGGTTAGGTCAGGGAAGTGGCCACAGTGGTTCACAACGTGTGCTTCCCGCCGTCACCGAGCCACCACACTCCAGGGGTTGGAGCCGCTTCAGCTGGCCCAAAGAGAAGGAAGCTGTCTCAAAACCAAACTGCAGCGCCCTCCTAGTTTGCAATTAACTGGCTTTTCGGCGCACGCGCGGAGAGGGGAGCTTCCGGCCTATAGCCCCGTCCCCAGCCCCACCCAAGTTAGCTCCTCCTCCAGGCCCCACCTCCGGACCAGTTCCTCCTCTCACCCGTGAAGCCCCGCCCCCTACTCGGGGCTTCCTTCGCCCCCGTTCCATTTAATTGTTGGATTGTCAGCGCTGCACTCCCGCTGACGGCCAGCAGGGGGCAGAGTTCGAGCTGGAGGTTTTTTTTTTTTACCCCCTCGGGGCGTCCCCGGGAGGCGGTCGCAGAGTGGGGGAGGGGAGGGCGGGGCTCGTGGACGCGGTTCCGTCCGCTGCTGCGCTACTTTTGGTCCGGACTCGGCTGGGAGGCCGCGGCTGCCGCATCAGAGCTGACGTGGGGGCGACGTGGGGCCGCGGCCGGCGCCGGCGCCGGGTTGCTGGGCGGCGGCGCCGCTCTTGAGCGGCGGTCGGGCTTGGCGTCTCCACCTCCTCGCGTCCGTAATCAGTGACGAGGTCCGCTACGTAAACCCCATCGCGGCGGGTAAGTGGCGCGCCGGCAGGGCCCGGAGACCAGGAGCCGGCGACGCGGCGCGGGAGGCGGCGCAGGAGCGGGGCGGGGCCGGGCCGGGCGGCGGGACCCCGGCGGCGGATCCCGTGTCGGCGGGACCCCGTGTCGGTGGCGGAGGCGCGCCCCGGGAAGAGGCCCTCTCGCTTCCCCGCCGGCCTCGACGAGCCGCCCGCCTTCCCTCCGCCTCCGGCCCCGAGTGCGGGCAGCCCGCCTCCGCACCCTCCCGACTCCTTCCGAGCTTGGTACAAGTTGGAAAAGCCTGACTCGAGAAAAAAGCCCTACGCCTCTGAGTACACTTCTGTCTTGACAGGAAAAAGGAAGCGAGAAGGAAGGACGTTGGTTTTATTTATCGCAGCCGACGATTGGTGGCACCTTTGTCCCAGTTGTGTATGCAGTTGAGATATAAATTAACGCGACCTATTTCTTTGAAACGTGGATTAGGGGGACTTCGCTGTTAAGTCATTTTTGTCCCCCAGACACGTTATTGCTGATGAGATCAAATAAGGGCAGAGACGGAATAAGTGACAGCTGATACAGGTTCGCGGTGTTACTCTTTTGATTTTTGCCTTTTTAGGGCCATCTAGTTCCCAGAACCTCTGACTAGGTAATAAACACATTATTCTACATAGTTCTTACCATGTTGCGATTACACGTATATCACATACCTAGGTTTGAATTGAAATCACTTGAACGTTTTCTGCACCTCCGCTCGCTAGAGCAGCTATTGGTGTGTAATCAGATTTTCAAAAAAATGTTGTGCTACACGACCAGCCTGAAAGTCTGACTAAAACTGAAAGAGCTCCTTTTAACTATGCAGCTTACTTAGGTAACTCATAAATTTTCTTCCTTTAACTGCGGGGAGGATAGGAGGGCAAATCATTTTCCATTGAAACAAAAACTTAGATGCATAGTGATAAAAGTCCAGTGTGAATATTGTATTAGATTACATCTATAATTCATGTTCTCTACTTTTTCCCTTGGGTACCACATTTTTCTTGTAGTCTTGATTCTCTTTTTGGATAATACGCTTGTTTCCCTAAGTTACTGATAGTCTTTAAATCTTTGAAGTACTGTTTTCCCCAAAGGAACGCAAATGTCAAAAAATGTTTGGCCAATAAATGCTGAGTATTGAAACTGATGTTTAAAGGAAATACTTATTGATCCAAACATTACTTTGGAAAAGGTATACATTATTTTAGTCCTGGATGAGTAAACATAATGCATTGTCATATTAAGTATTGATAATTACACAATTTTGATGAATCTGTAAATAGATCAATGTAACAAAATTTTTCCAGTGACTTGGTGGTTTGCATGAAATCATTTTGCTAGTGTCAAGTTGTAATTACAGTGATGTTTTGTGTACATATTTTTGTAAGAGTATGAATAAATTTTTATTGACTGTATAAACACAGAGGAACTTTTTAGTCTTTTTGTTTTTGCATTGTCCCAGAAAGTTAATGAAATTTGCCTCTACTGATGAATTTTAACAAACCTCAGACATCATGTATTCTAGTTTTCTACTGAGGCAAGTCACTGCATGATTAAAATATTAAATTTTGTTTTTCAATAAATCTTTCATGAAAATGAGGGGAGAGTTTTAGATTATTAATGTACATAAGGAATCCTGACTGAATCTTTACCAGTATAAATATTTCTGATCCCATTTCCCCAATTTGATATTCTTTACAAGTATTGGGCCAGGGGTACTGTTGAATTAGGTAGCCTACTGAAAAGCTGTTAAATATTCTGTTCCATTTGTAATGAATTCTTAAAATAAATCTGAACAACACAAACACTTTAACAGCTAAAATTCAGAGACTTTATTTTATTATTTATTTATTTATTTTTAGTTGTAGATGGACACAGTACCTTTATTTTATTTATTTAGTTTTATGTGGTCCTGAGAAGGAACCCAGTGCCTCACACTGGCTAGGCAAGTACTGTACCACTGATCCACAACCCCAGCCAGAGACTTTATTTTTTTAGATCAGTTTTAGAACCATTGATTCTCCCCTCATATCGTTGCTCCCCCACAGTAAGGATTGAACCCAGGGCCACTCTACCATTGAGCTACATCCCAGCCCTTTTTAAGTTTTTAAAATTTTAGACAAGTTCTCACTGAGTTGCCCAGGCTGGCTTGGAAGTTGCAATCTTCCTGTACTTTCCCAGTTGCCACTGGACTAGGATTTTGTTTCTGCACTTAGAAAGAAACCAGTTTTGTTCCAGATAGGACCAATCTAGGTGAGTTGAAATGCTGAAATTCTTTTCTCTGAACTTTAGTTAATTTAAGTGTTTTATCTACTTTCCTGGATTTATTAATTAATACTAGTTAGTGCCTTTGCATTCATTGTGTAGATGAGTGTTTTGAAATGTACTTATCAATGTAGAATCAAGAAGCAAGCTATTGAAAAGAAAAACCTTACAGTGAGTCTGGTCAAGTAATTCTCCCTTGGAATTTTAAATTTTGGTTTTCTTTCCTGAAGTGGTGGTGGTGGTCTGGGGTACTTGAAGGGTGGAGTTGGGGGTGGGGAGGCTGGGGAGGTAGCTCAGTGGTAAAGCACTTCCCAGCAGGTATTAGACTGGGATAAATTCCTAGCACTGTGGGGGAGATTAAGTTGAAGGGTGGAGATGGGTCTTGATTACTTGAAATTCATTTTTTCATTTCCTGCTCAGTAGCTGATTTTGCTATTCATTAAAATAGCCAAAAGTAGGCAGCATGTGGGTAATGAATTGAAAAAGGGATGTTCTTTGGTAACTTTAATGAAAGTTAAGATTTCTCAAAAAACATGTATCTCAGCTAGGTGTGGTGACAAACATTTATAATTCCTGATATTTAGGAGTTTGAGGTAGGAGGATTTCAAATTTGAGGTCACCTTGGGCAATTTAACAAGACCCTGTCTTAAAAAATAAAAGGGCTGGGGATATAGGTCAGTGGTAGAGCACTTGCTGTGGTTCAATCCTCAGGACTGCAAAAAAACCAAAACAAAAACACCCCAGGTATCTGTCTCAAGCAATTAGACTGGAGTAGTTTTGAATCTATATTAGAAAGCCTCCTTTTTATGAATTATTATGCATAATTCATGTTTGAAATATTAAAGATACTATTTACAGATGTTTGGAATATTATGAGTATTCTTCCTGGCTACGCCTATTTTGACATGTAAGTGTACAGATTACTATTTGAAAGTTACTGTTGTTTCACAAGGAGAACAACACTTTAAAAGTGGCATAATTTTCTGTTAACTCCTGTTTCATTTTTCCTGTGTTCATTTCACTTGTCCAAAATTCATGATAACCATAGGTTCATCCCTGTTAATTTCAGATATATGGCTGTTTATAATATAATTACTGCTCTCTTCAATCTAGTCTCACCTCCCAACTTTTTAATTGGCTTGGTTGAGATGATTCAGCTTAACAACGTGGGCTTCATGTTCTTCCCTTATCTTTCAATCCTTACTTGCTGTTGCTACTTAAATTATAGTTAACCTGTGCAGATCTACTTGAAGAACTAAAAGCTTACTTTGTCTCAGAACTAAAGAAACAGATTGTGCTTTTTCTCTGTTCTCTTTTTCTTCCAACTTCTGTTAAAAGGTGCACTGCTTTTTATTCCACAGTTTCCCTTTTTCCTTTGGCTGTGCTAATTGCAGTGTTTTGGATTTTTTTCCATCATTTAAAAAAAAAAATTTAAACTTTCTTGCAAATAACATCTCAGTAGTGCTTACTTTGCAGGTCCAATTTTTGGGATTTTTCAAAGTGGAACAAGAATTTAGATTGTTTTTATAAGTGTCTCATAAAGAACTCTTCATTTTTGTAATACTGTAGTTATTTATAACTGTAATATCTAGTCCAAAAACTGGATTAGTTTTTTTTTTATTGTTTTTGTTTTATTTGCCTTTAATACCATTTGCAAAGCATTTAACTTAGCTTTCACAGGAACAGTTCTCTTTTTAAATCGTTCATCTCTTTAAAGATTCCAAAATTGCAACAAGTATGGCTGGTATAATCAGGTTTGGTGATAAACACAACTTGGTTTGGTGATAAATACAACTTGGTAGGAACAGAAGTACTTGGCACACTACAGAAGAACTGCAGTAGAACTAGACCAATTTTTTTTTTTAAAGAGAGAGAATTTATTTATTTATTTTTTTAGTTTTCGGCGGACACAACATCTTTGTTTGTATGTGGTGCTGAAAATCGAACCCGGGCCAAACGCATGCCAGGCGAGCTCGCTACCGCTTGAGCCACATCCCCAGCCCCTAGACCAAATTTTATAAAAGGAATGGAGGACCACTGGTTAATACAGAGAGTTGGATGGTGAGGTGGAAACTAATTAGGTAAGGGTCCATACTATAGTAAGATTGTCCCAGATTTTCTTATGTATACCTAATTTTTTCAGAAAGTTACATTATATTAATGGCATAGTACAGTATGTAGTCAAAGTCTTCTAAGTATAAATTTGATAATACTACCTTTTCTCTGGCATATTTTAAGTATAATTTGCATAGAAAGCCATATGTTAAAGGTTGATAGGTAACAATAAAATTAAGACTATTATGCCAGAAGGTGAAAAAAAATCAGCATCCTGGGGAAAAGTAAGGTGAATGCCAAATGTTATTTTTGTAACAAACCTAATACAGGTAGGAAATTTTTATCAGTATGATAGTTGTCTTCCCACCAAATACAGCTCAAAAATCCATACCCAGACAAAATAATTTCAACTTATTTTTCTCACCTAATATATACATTATTTGTCTGTAATAAACTAATCTAAAACATATCTGTCTGCTCTAAAAGATAAACCTCAAAAGTCCCTTGGCAGGTAGGATTTCTAATCTATTTGTTTAGAAAATTGGTAGAGGGCTAGGGATGTAGCTTTGTGGGAGAGCTCTTGCCTAGTATGTGTGAGACCCTTGGTTCAATCCCTAGTCCCTCCAACAACAACAACAACAAAAGGGGGCGGAACAGGGAGA